ATGAAATTAATGAAAACTCATCAATAGATAATATGTTAATTAATATTCAATCTTTGCTAAATGGAAAGGATCTAAATACAGTAGAAAAAGATATAAAAATAGAGCCTCTTATAACAACAGGTATAGAGTTATCATTAGAAGAACAAGCAAAATTGGATGCAGATATTGCTGAATTATTAAATGAAGATACTGGAATATCAGAATGTGTTAAGGATATGTTATTGATAGATAAAAAGGAACTTGATAGTGGCATTGATGATTCAAATACAACCATGAATTCGCTTTTATCGTTAGGAGAAAGTAGTGGATATGAAAGCTTTGCATTCAAAGGCTCATCGCAATCAACTCCAGATAATGAATCTAACGAAGATCGAATAAGCGAACACGAAGAAATAGAAATTGATTCAAACAAAGAACAAAATATATTTCTTCATAGCATCATAGAATCAAGTTCAATCATACCAGAAGAATTAACAGCAAATAAACAAAATAAAGAAAATTATCGACAAGATGTATTTAATGGGCAACCGAATGTTGGTATATTTTTGGATGTTCTTTTAAGAAAACTTGAATGCATGACAAGTAATAATTTATATGTTAATTTACATTTAACTGGTCTTATCAGCAGATTAGCAATATATCCACAACCTTTATTGCAATCTTTTCTTTTAAATCATTCTCTGGTATTTCAACCTAGTATTAGATCACTTTTTCAGGTTTGTAATTACAAGCATATCTTTATTATTTATGTGCTTTATAACATATACATAATATACAAGTTTATAAAAAAAATTTAAATTCCATTAGGTACTTGCATCTTTAAAACATAAAATAGATCAATTTCTTTCGCAACATAATAATGTGGATATATTAGTTGAACAAGCGCGACTGTTTTTAATTAATCGCGAAGATAAATTAGTGAATGCAAGAAGAAACGCGTTAGAAGCCGCTGCTCATTCTGTACCTATTAAAAGAAATTCTTTAAATGGAGAACCATTTTCAAGAGGTATGATTTATTTTTTAATTATTCAAAATATGGACTAGTGATTATTATTCTTATATCTCATTAATGTGTATATACAAGTTAATATTAAATTATTACTTATAATTTTCGTGCAATCTGGAAGTATTCAAAAGATGTATGTATAGTAATTATTTATAATATATATTAAAAATAATATTTATAAATTATATTTGAAGAAATTATACTTTTAGGTGAAACTAAAAGATGGAGTTTAACATCATCTTTTACACAAATGCTTAGACGATCAAGTGGTAGTTCTGGTCCAAGTAGTTTAGTTAATACTATCAATCAATCAACTGGTATATCAGAAAATCAACTAGAAGTTATTGGGCATGGTTCTGGATATCGGTAAATATTTTTTTTATGCTTTAATATTCAGATTAAATAAAGTTAAAAATGTGAAAAATATAATAATACTATACAATTTTTTATTCATTAGATATTATACGAAAACGTCCTGGCAATCCCCAAATGAAATAAGTCCAGTACAAAATGTGGTCTTATGTGCAGTTGTATTAGATGAATGGCTAAAAGAATTAGCCGCTATTACACAAGAACATGCAATTATATCTCTTACAAATAGTATGTATGGAGTTTAAAGTTTAATATGTAAGATAATTGAAGTACATACAAATTAAAATTCAATTAATAATAGAATAATTATACAAAATATTCTTTCCTTCTTACAGGGTTTTAATAAGTAATATGTGATATATTGTTAGATTTATATGTAATAAATCCTATTATAGCGTTATATACAAAATATTTATGTGAAGTTATTGAAAAGAATACAACGATCTTATATGGAATATAGCTACAATCATAAAAATAATATTTTTATTTTGCAATTAATAGACATATTAAAGAATTAGTTTCGAAAATTATAGATTTATATTTTTGTTGATATTATTTAGACATTAACTACTTTTAAAATTATTGAAAAAAAAAATACAAAAAAAGTTTTATTTAGTTATTTAAATGCTTTTAAAATACTAATTAATATTTAAATAATATTGACGGAATTTCATTGTAAAGAATGATTTAGAGCAATTTCCTATATATATATATATATATATATATATATATATATAAATTAATTTACACATATTACATTATTAAACTATATAATAATTTTTTAGTACATATATAATAAACTAATCAATTTATTTAAAATTATATGTAAATATATAATTCAACATCAATAGTTCAAAGATTCATCATAAATAGTTCAAAAGAATATAATTAAACACAAGAAAGTGCCAACTCATTATTTTAATATATTATATAATATAATCAGTACTTTAGAAATTGTTCCAAATGTTTTTCTAAAATTTAATAATCAAATTATTACGATAATTTTGTTTTAAAAATGAAAATTATAAATGAATATTTATTCATTTTATGTTACCTAACAATGCATAATGTATGATAATTACATAGCTTGTTTTTATTGTACTTAATTTAATATATGATTATAATGTTATGTAATTATTATAGATTAATTTCTATATGATTTAAAAATTCAATAGCATAAAATATAAATGACATCTCAAATTATGAATTTTTAAAATGACTTGTTAAAGTTGTAAATCTGAAGTTGACTGAAAATAACAATGCAGATGTTATAATATTTTTGTCCCATATTTTCACTTTTACTATTGTAATATTATAAAAAATATTTTATTATGCAGTTTTTCATTGAAAGTATACAATTGCCAAATTTTTACAATATTTGAAATAAAACTGCTTATTTTAATAACCAAAGACAAATCAACAATTGCCAATAATGCAATATATTGCACAATCATAAAATATTTGTTTATATATAACATATCAAAATTTAATTATTTATATGAATGTTATCTTAGTTCAATTTTTATTAACAAATATTTTTTACTTTAAATTAATGTTAACACATTATAGTTATTAAGAAACAATTAATAACATAAAGGAAGTGTGCATCATAAAATATAAACATTGAAAAAAATATAAATGTATATTTGGAACGTTTTAAAACTTTTTATTCTATAAAACTTATACGTTATAAAACTTTTTATTATAATAAGGATATACTTGCTGCATTGTGATATATGAAATTAGATTTATTAAAAATTATTTTTATTAAAATATTTTAATTTTTTTGTCAAATATTGAAATATATATTAATATAACTAAGAATTATTAACAATTTTATATCAATATAATAATGTGTGCTTTTGAAATGTTTGAATGTAATGCATGTTGTAATATACAAAATAATATTATTTTGTATAATTTTGTTTAAATAATATTAAATTTGTAAAATTTTAATATTATAGCATAACAAATAATTTACGAAATTTATATAATAATAATAAATTTATATAATAAAAATTTAATATTTTTTATAAAAAAATATTTTAATATAATTATATTTTTTATTTTTCTATCAGTGTACTTAATGTATTTTTATTGAAAACATGCAATATTTTCAAACAAAATTATATATACTTGCCAATTTATATTATATTAATAATATAATTTAATATTCAATATTATTTCATTATTTTCTTTATTGTTATGTTTAAGTTTTTAAATAAACTTATATAATGAAGTAATAGAATCAAAATTCAAAAATTTTAATAATTTAGAATTACTTATATGTTTCAGCATAATTTTTATTTTAATATAATAATTTTCCTTTTGTGATAATTTTTGCATTTTTAATTACATTATCTATTTTGCTAAAAAAAGTATTTTATAAAAATAATTAAATTTAAAAAAAAATAATTTTAAAATTATTGAATTTTATAATTATTTTATAAATTAAGAAATAATAAATTTGAATTTATATTTTTGCATTTCTGTTTAATTCTGAAAATATATTGTATTTTGTTAAAATAATGTTATATTTGTTGTAATAAATTATATAATTTACAAATTATAATAAAGTTGTCCTTACATATGAAATTTATTTCATCGAAAACTCGCATGATATAAATTAATTTCTAAATTGAAAATAATATCTACTTATAATCAATTAATAACATTCATTTAAAAATAATAAAATAATGTTATATATGAAAAAAATTGCAATTGTTTTCGTATAATATAAAAAAATAAAGATGAATAATAAAAAAATTTTCTTATTCATACAATAAAGTAAATATATAGAATAATATATAAAAACTTTCATTTATTATATTTATATTATATATATAATCTCTTATTAATCAAAATTATTATTATTTATCATTCTTTCTTAATAAATTAATTATTACTATTAAATTAAATATTCATATAAAATTTTAATAACTTTAATAATTAGTTACACAAAATGTATTTTGCAAATATTGTATTTTGTAATAAAAAATAAAACATATTATCGTGTTACATAAAAAATCACGAAATATTTTAATAAAAATAAATATTAAAATAATAATGTTTATTTTATAAAAAAAAATTATATATAAAAACAGTTAAAATTCTATTTAAAAAATATTATAAAAAATATAGTTTAAAAAAAAATGAAAGATATATAAAATAATCTTTAAAGAAGCTAAGAAAAAGAATTTTCATTTTTGATTAAATTTATTAAGATTATTTTAATATTAATTACAAAAATTTGTATTTAATAATAATAAAAATTGTTATTAGATATAAATAAATATTGCAATTATTTCTATTATATACTTTAAATATATAATGATATTGAAAATTATTATAAATTTATTATAAATAAAAATGATTTTTTTAATATTCTTAATTCATTTTTCTATTTATTTTCTTAATACTAAATATTGCACTGTAATAGAATTGAAAAAATTAATCTTTTCTTTTTTATAAATAGTTTTTTTAATTACTTAAATTCCAAACTTTCTCTTATATAAGTATCTTATATCTATCTTATATCTATTTATCGATCTATATAAATATCTTACTATTTTCTTTTAACAGTATAAAATTAACTGTATAGTTTACATCTAAGAAATATTATTCAATGCTTCGAAAAAATCAAATATAAAATAAAAAAAAATATTTTAATTATAATTTCTTGAAAAAAATACTATTGCACATAAAAGTGTTCAATAATTGAACACTTAAAGTAAATTTAGATATGTTTGATCAGAAAGGTCCAATCATTGCAACGCTTTGATCAACATTCGAGAATAGATGCAGTTTGCGAAAATTGTAGTACCAAAAAAAAGGCTAGTCTTAATTTAGATATCATATTGTCGATTTTAGACTTTTTTAATTTTTTCTTCTATTTAAATTTATTATTTCGAAAAATAAATTCGTATAATACTTGTGATAAAATCGTCTACATGTACACGTACGTATATTAAAATTTTCTATTTGCATTGTATAAAATTGAATAAAATTTGATAAATAAATATTGCAATTTGCAATTGTATTTAATTAATATAATCTCATATTTCTAATCATATTAATTATTATAAATATATGTATATTTTAATCATTAATATTCTTTTATGATAAATATTATTTATGCATATTCATAAACGACACACCTAGTTTAATGTAAAAATATTTTATATTGCAAGTCATAATGATAATAATATATATATATATATATATATATATAAATTAACATTAAATTTTGTTATTTTATTAATTCTATCATATTTTAAATATCATTGAATTTAATTTCATTATTTGATTATAATATATTTTGATATTAATATTTTTTAAAATAATTGCAATATTTAAGTTAATTTTAAGAATTTTAACATTATATTTTATATTTATTTACATGTATTACTAATTAAAAAATTAAAAATAATATATGTTATTATATTAATATTATTATATAATTATAAATTTAAAATAAATTAATAGCAGTTAATCATAATTTTTCATAAAATATATTATTATATTTTTAGGAAGTTTATATATAATATACTTTGACATAAATAAATATTCATGCCTTTTTGTTTGGGAAATTATACAACTCGTAATATGGAAGAATATGCTGTAGTATCTGATATATCAGTTGTAGATGTTTATGATATTGCATCTGAAATAGGAAAAGAATGTGAGAAACTTATAGATTCATATGGAGTAGAATCTGTAACTAATCTTATGCCAAAAGTAATACATGCATTAGAATTATTAGAAAATCTTGCAACCAAAAATGAACGTGAAAATACTACAGTTCAAGAATTACGTGCAAAGATTTCACAATTAGAAAATGATAAAATTGGAAAAGCTGAAGATAGGCAGAGATTTGAAAAGGTATTTTATTTATAAATATTTATAAATTTTATATTAATACATTAAATATTATTATATATTTATATATATGAAATTTGTTTAATTTTTTATCATTCAAAGATATTTACTTCTTATATAGGAATTGGAACAAATTGAAGAACATTGGCGTCAAGAATCTCGTGATTTAGTAGAAATGGTTACAAGATTACAAGAAGAAAATAGACGACTATCAGAAGCTTTGCAGGAATCACGTAGTGATAGTCAGTACAGCAGTAAACAAAGTACTAACAATCTTTTCTCTACTAACACAATTCTAGAAATGTCCTTTATAAATTTATATTTATAATTCATCAATTAAATAATTATTTATTAATAATAAATATATCAATAAATATATTTTTAGCTTTCACAGCTAGTCAAGAAGTTGATATTGCAGTATTGCAGCATTTAAGATCTATGATAGACAAACAAAGAGATCAAATTCGAGGCAGAGATAAAGAGCTGTTACAAAAAAATTCGGAAATAGAAAATGTAAATTGGTACTTATGTTCATATGTGTAATTTGTAATTATTATAATTAAGTATTACTTTTTTTTGAATATGATATGTATTATGATTTTTTTTTCTTGAATACGTTCGTGACATGTCTTATTTGTAGCACATTATATATTTGTTATATAGTCGTTGATTATACTTAATTGAAAAAATGTTTCAAAATAAATATACTGTATTTCGCGAACGTGTCAAACATTAGTAGATTATTTTAATTTATTTTTATAATTTTTAAAGCTGACAGGACAAGTTGAGAAACTCGGAGTTGTTGGTCGAGAATTAAAACGAAAACAACGTCAAGCACAAATGCAAGCACGAGGTTTAGTAGAAGAAAGGGCAGATTTCTTAGCTCAATTGCAAGATCAAAATCGTGAATTGATAAATCTTCGAGCTCGACTTGGTTTAGCAAAAAAAGAAAATGAAGATTTAAGTAAATTGCAGGGTTGTCCAGATTTAACTAATAAGGCTGTGTATGATCTTGATGATCCAGATAGACCAAGATTTACTACTGCTGAATTAAAAGAAATTTTACATGAACGAAATGAATTGAAAGCTAGAGTATCAGATTTGGAAGATGAATTAGAACTATATCGACCAAAACCTGAAATGTATATATATATATATATATGCTATAATAATTTGTCTTTTTCTATATTAAAAATATAGTAAAAAATTTTTTAATATTATAGAATTTAATATTATAATTCAAATTATATTTTTTTTTTTCACTATAGAGTTGAAGATGATAAAGATGCTCCTGTACAAGGTCCTCTTCCTTATGAACCAGATGATGCACCTTGGAAGAAGACATCTGAATCTGGAATTCGTAAATTGTAAGTATAAAAAAAAAAAACTTAAAAAAAAATAAAATACTTATAAAAATTCCAATTTTTAATAATTATATTTGCTTTCCAGTTTCCGGAAAATTTTCTCAGAATCTAGCAGTAGTTTTTTAGTTGGTAGTAGTCCACGTCGAAGTCTTTCTAGTTTATCAAAAATGGCTCTTTCTGGAAACAGTACATATGATGAATCTGTATAATGATTTTCAAACAAATGATTTTTAACATCTTATGAAAATTGATTGAACATAATATTTTTGCATTTATTGATTTTATATTTTGATAATGATGCATAATCATAATTATTTTAATGAATTAAAAGTCTTTTTTTTTTTGAATTATTGATTATAACAATTATTTGATTAACTAAAAGTAAGTTTTAAATATAATATGATTTAAACAATTAGATAGAAGTATAAATATTCATGTATGTGCAACACATTATCTACTATCTAAAATAATTTAGAATGAATTACATATATAAATATATAAATATATACATTTTTTTTTTAAATTGATGTGCCTCCAAAGTTAAAAATGTTAATATAGTAATGACTTATTATTTTTTTTTAGTAATATATAAAATATAAGTGACAGTATAAAATTTTAGATAAAATTAATCTAATTTATTAAAAATACACTAAGTCCTTTTTTTTTTAATACAAGAAAATTTGATTTTATCATGTTGGAATTTAATAATTTGTTTTTATATTTATTTTATGCATTTTATTACTATTTTTATTATTAATATTATTATTAGAAGTATACAAAATTTAAAAAAATACTAAATAAATAATATATTAAATGTATCTTTATCAATATAAAATATTTAATGTTATAGTAAATATAAAAAATTGTATGGTTATAATTATTTTTTAACTCTTTATATTTATAAATAGATTTATTTTTTTAACTTTTGTTTAAATTAGTTCAAAATTCACTAAAAATTTTTTAATTAAAATTTAAATATATTTGAACAATATTAAATGACATTGTGATATTGTGTTTATTTTTTATAATTTGTGCTATGAAATATCAATGTCAAAATAAAAATAAGTTATAATTAGAAATTGTAAATAGGATTTAAAAATTATAAACGTAGATATTTAATATAACATATAATGATACAATAAATAATAACAGTAGTGTTAATGAAAACATATGACAAGTAAAAATATATTTAAATTCAATTATAAAATATAATAGTATTAGTGACTTCTCATATAGATATATGAATTGAAATTATTAAAAAAAAGAAAAAAAAAAAATCAAAATAGTCGTCATTATCAATTTCAACATATTTGAAGAAAAATCTATAAAAAATTAAAAAATATTTTAAATTTGAAAGTTTTTATAATATGCATATTGTATGTTATATGAAAATATAATTATTATTAATCATTGAAAATATAATTATTAATTTTGTTACTATGAATTAACATTTAAATTTTTTAAATTTATTAAATTTTTCTTACAAAACTTTAATGTTTTTAAAATATTTTATTATTTTTCAAATGTTATAATATAAAATTAAAGAATTTGTGAAATATGTATTTTTAAACAGTATAAACATACTTATAAATATTTTTAATTAAACAGCTTTAAATTTAACAAGATATATAAAATAAATTTAAAAAATTAAAAATATATTATAACTTTAGTTACAATAATAAAACATATTTGTAACTGAAGTTATATTTTGCAAAGTAAAAAATAATATATATTTATTTTATAACAAAATATATGTTCTGTTTAAATATAATTTATTAAAATCATTATATAATTCTAGTCCTATTACATGTGCCTACTACATAAATGTATTTATCTTGCATTTATTTAACAAGTTTTTTGAAATAATTGATAAATATGAATTTTGTCTAGAATGGAATACATTTTACTACAATTTATTATAATCAATAAATCTTTTGCAAAGTATAATAATTCAAAGAATAATCTTCATAATATAAAAAGAAACTAAACCAAATAAAATTTCATATAGATATGTAAATTTTTAAATAGAATATTAGAATATTATATTAAATATACTTATTGTTATAATAATAATGTATGATTTTTATGTAGAAAAATATTTATACATGTAACATATTATATTGTAATTAAACAAAAGCTTCATTTACACATAATTAAATATAAATGAAATCTATGATTTATGGTACATAAATAATGAAGGTTAATATTTGTATTTTCTACTGAAATATCATAGTAAATAAAAAAAAAATTCTTTTCAATAAATTTCGAAATATATATACATTGTAATATTATAAGAATTTAAATGTTAAAATAGATTTTAATAATCTGTATTAATTTTTTCTTGTATTGTTAAAGAATTAATAAAATATCATAAAATACAGAAATAAATAATAGTAATATAAAAAAAAAAATATATAAGTGCCAAAGAAGATACAAATGTTTTATGTATTATTTGACAATTTATTTATATTCTATGAATAATTCTATTAGTAAATTTATTAGGACAATTGTAATACTTTTCAATATACTATAATTGTTATTAACATGCAAGTTTGATGCCTTAACATCTATAGAACTGAAACTTTATTGTAATCAGTTCTTTAAAAATAAATAGTTATGTTCTAAGAATTGTCGTTTTTCATAATTTCATATGAAATAACATATTTAGATACTACTAATAATTTGTATGTAATATTAAATTCCCTTTTAAATAAAAATAATTAAGATTTTAAAAAATCAATATTGAAATCAAGTTTAATAATTTATAAAAAGAACTAATATGATTGAGGTAGTATTCTGATACTTCGAATATTTGGAAGAACTATTCTCAAAAAACAAATTTTAAAAATGATTTCTAGTTCTTTTTAAACAATTCGAGAAATAATTAATAACAAAAATTGATTTCAGGATAAAAAATAAAAATGTATTAAAATGTGTCGAAGTGTTAAAAAAATATTGATATAAGATTTAGCACCATTTAAAAGCCTACATTATTATCATATTATAATACAACATATATAAAATACTTTGCGCTTATTTTTTAGAACATAAAATAGAACAAATTAAAGATGCCTTTTTTGTTACAAAACTTACAAAATAAATTAATATTTATAAAATATGGAGTTGACTAGTGTGTTATAAATCTACATTGTTCAAATTAGCTGCAGATCCAGTTGGCAAATCTGGCGGTACAAATTTACCGATAGGTTGTATAGCTTGTCTTTGCTCTGCTAATTTCCTCATTTCTTGTCTAAGTTTACTTAAAATAGCATGATTTGGCTGATTAACTGCAGCTTTACCTTGCAACAATGTGATTTCTTGTTCTAATTGTTTTTTTTCTTTAAAGGATTTTACACTTCGAGATCCATAAAGTCTTAATAAAGAACCCCAAGATTGAATGTGAGGATGCATAAGTTGCAAAATAGCTTGTGCTGCTCGTTGTTTACCATCTTTTTTATTACGACATACCTAAAATCAGGTTTTATAAACATATTAGGATTGAAAATATTTATTATATAAGAGAAAAATAAAATGAAAATATATTAATAATTTTACTCGTTTTTTTTTGAAGAAAATAAATAAAAATATAAATTAATCATAAAAACTATAAATTTTAAAATTATGATTAAATTTACTTACAACAGTAGCTTCATGTTTGCCAACACGCATTGTAAATTCATTGCGTTGATGTTTTAATGTATTTACAGAATAATTAATATGCATATCACCTAGGCCATAATTTCGTTGAAGACAAGTAATTAAAATAGCATGTGGTGATGGTTCAGTTGTTTTAGCGCAAAATTCTGCGACTCGTGGATCAGTAATTGAGATTTCATCAAAAAATGATAAATCTGCATCAGAATTTGCTCTAGATGCTTTAATCATTCGATTATTATTACCAGAAACTGTATCTCCACCATTGTCACCAGAAATTTTATCTCTCATTTGAGGAATTAAAATTTCAAGAGTTTTTCGAGCAGCATTAGCTTTTGCCTGTTTTTTGCTACTGCCAAAACCACTCCCATATTCCATATCATTTATACAAACAACTGCAGAGTATGGAGTTGCTGCATTTTCTGAAATTAATTATTTAATAATATAGATTATCTTTTTTTTTATTAATTTTTTTTTTTACTATTCAAAGACATTTTAAATAAATTAACAAATAAATAAATATATGTATATATGTATTTAATATTTTAATATACTTTATATATACTTTTATATGTATTTAATATTTTAATATACTAATAATTAAAAAATTATTTTTGTTTAACTCACCTAATTCTTTAAACTTATAAGTAGGTTGTTTTTTAAGTGCATGTTGCACATATTCATGAAGTATACAAACATAACTTTTGCCAGAGGGATTCATTATCCAATGTTTTGGTGGTCTTTGTCCAGTATTATCATCTCCAGCATTACCACTACTACTTCCTGCTAGACCAGAACTACTAACTGGAAATGTTATTAATTTTGTTCCATCAGGTAAAGTAGGTCGTTCAAGTTGTTTGCGATGTTTTTTATTTTTTGTGAATTTTCTTCTTGCTGACCATGATCTAGATAATTATAGAATAATTAAGATTTTTTATTAAAATATATTAAATATTATATACGTTAATTATATTATACATCATATTAGTACTTATTAAATATTATTTAACATATACTTACTGAAATCTCATTACTTTAATAGCTTTAAATCGAAATAATGATTGACAATAATTTCTTAGTTGTTCACTATCCAATGAATGTGCTGCTCGATTTTCTTGAATTGTTTCAATTTTTGCACTTGGAAGGCTACAAACTTCTGCATTTGGATCACGTTCTTTTTGTTTTTTTCTTTCTTCTTCTTCTTCATGAAGAGCTCTTTTATATTGAAGGCAAGGTATTGCACTAACAGGTACTTCATGTTTTCTCACACTGCCAGGTCCAAGAAAGTATGGTTTTGCAAGAGTACAAACTCTACTTTGCTTATGTAAATATAAAGGCATTCCACTATTATGTGTCACTTGTACCCAACCTTCTGGAAGTACGTCAAAGTGATTATGTCCAATTTCTGTAAAAAAAATAATATTATTATAAATTATATGTTATATTTTTCTTTTTGTAAATAACATTAAAAATGATAATATTATCATAGTTTTTATACAAAATTAAAATTTTTTTATATTAAACATTTATTAAAATACTTAATTTGCAAAGATACCTACCATCTAAGACAAGTTTTACTTTTTCTTCATATGGTACACTATCCTTCTTGTCTTTTCTTTTGCCTTTAAATTCTTCTGGTAAACCTAATAGTAGCACATAATACTTAACTAAAAAAATACTCTGCAGCTGCATGATCTATATAAGAAGTACAAAAATAAATAACAAATAATCTTTTTTTTTTTTTTTTCCTTTTTATAATTTTATCTCAGATATATGTAACTTTTATAATTTAAGTCTATTTTTATAAAATTCCATTATATATTGTGTTTACTATAATTTATTTAATATCTTTTATACT